GGGTACGACGGCGGAGATGGCGGGGACACTTACATGGGAGATGGTGGCCAAGGGAGCGGTTTTGGAGGGAGCTACTACGGAGGTGAAGGCGGGCACTAGGGACAGTGCGTGATTCAAGTGCGGGGGAGACACTCATGATGGTATGTAATTCTCATTTGTACCTAGCACTATGCATGTAATTCTTTTGAACTTTTACACTCAAAAAAAAAAAAAAAAAAAAGAAAATAAATGCTAGTTAGGTTGAAAACCCAACAAAATGGGCAATCTAAGCAAAAAAGGCTTATATAAAAAAAAATGAGTGAGTTGGAGAGAATGGAAAATGAAAAGAGATGCTAGGATGAAAAGCTGAAAAGGCTCCTAGGCAAAATGAGAGATATGAGAGAAATGTTTGTTCTTGCAGGCACTCATTGTATCCTTATGAAGAATATGAAGATTCAAGATAAAGAAGAAGAGAGGAGGAGAAAAGAAGACAACACTAGGAGGCCATTAAACCCAAGATGCTCTTTTGTGATTTGAGTTTAAAACTCATTTTTTGTAATCCTTGGTGGTCTTTGTGTTTGTATTATCTTTTTGTTGAACTGTGGAACTTTTGGACAAATATTGACACTTGTAAACATTTGATCTTACTCGAGACGAGTAAAGGTTTAAGTGTGGGGGAGTTGATACGTTCGTAATTTCCATTTCTATGTTTATGTTTTTAATTAGTTTTGCTTGACTTTTACTTTGGAAATTACACACTTTTGGTGTAATAGATTAGATTGTTAAATTCTTGTAAATAGGTTAGATTAGACATTTTCTGAGCTTAAGCAGGTTTTGGTCACCCAAAGTACAGTTGGTGAACCCAAAAAGTGAAGAGAAGGTACAAAAGTTCAAAGACAAAAGAAGATCCTGAATTTTGGTCTATACTCGGTCGAGTATTAGCTATACTCGATCGGGTATTAGGTTGGAACTTCAAATCGGATCAGATCCGAAGACAAAGGAACATGCAGGGAAGATTTTGGCCACGATTCTATGTCTATACCCGATCGGGTAGACCGACATACCCGATCGGGTATGCCTTTAAATTGCAAACGAAGATCGGTCGAGTATAGCCCGAATACCACTTTCTAAGCATACTCGACCGGGTATTCATATATACTCGATCGGGTATGCCTTTAAATTGCAAACGAAGATCGGTCGAGTATAGCCCGAATATCACTTTCTAAGCATACTCGACCGGGTATTCATATATACTCGATCGGGTATACACTTAGAAAATAGCCTGAAACCGGTCGAGTATGCCTCGAATAGGATGTTACACACATACTCGATCGGGTACCATGTATATACCCGATCGGGTACCCGAATCTCATCCCAAAAACCTATAAATACACCTCCTTTCCTTCACAAAAAGATATTCAATCCCTTTGTACATCTAAGCTCAGTATAGAATAGCTCTTTCTTTATATTTTTCATCATGTTTAGTCTCCAAATGAGGAGCTAAACTCTTCCATCTTGGTTTTGCTACTTTGAAGCTTAATGAATTTGTAAGTTGTGAGTTATTTTCTTTAATCTTCTTCCTTGAATATTAATTCTTTCTTTCAAAATACTATCTCTATATCAAAGTTGGGGAGTGTTACTAAGATGACAATTAGTTAACATCTTGACATTGGTCATAGTAATAGCTATTTCTTCCTCTATGATTATATTGGGGAGTGTTGCTAAGATGACAATTAGTTAACATCTTGATATTAATCATAGTAGGATTCATATATTTTAATATTCTTCCTTGAGTATTGATTAATTCCTATTCATATTTCATGTTAATATCTTAAACATTACTTAAAGTATCAACTAGTATTGTTTCTCATATTAATTATTACTAGAATCAATCGGTTAATACGCTTGTTATTAATCCGGTTCTTTCAACGGTAGTAAACTTGGGATATTAATGCATGCATCTCATGGTTAATATGCCAAGGGGAATTAATTATATTGATTAAACCAATAAACCGCTTGTGTTGAGGTTATCAATCTCAATCGTTTTCATCTTAAGTTTATTGCTACTATCAAGTTAATATACGGCGCTTGTTCTATATTGACTCGATAGTAAGTTTTATTAATGAACGCATCTCGTTATTAATAACTACCCTCGATGAACTGGATATACTCCTCGATTGAGTATTCGAGAGGAAGATAGTTAAAGATATAACCGGGATCGACGAACATTTCATTAAGTGGATAAAAGCAAGACCAAGTCTTCATCTCATTGCATTAAACTCATATAGGTTGTTTATCTTAGTGTTGTTAAAACAAACAAATCTAAACCCCCTTTTTTGTTACTACTTTTATAAAAGAAAAGTATTCCTTTCCCTGTGGATACGATCCATACTACACTATACTACGTATTAGTGTTGTATTGATTATTTAATTTGAGTGCACCTAACGACGAGTGCACGTCAAAAACCCGGACGGGTGTTTGTTCCCAGGCCTGGCAGCGGCAAAATTCTCAGTTTACCCGGTCAGGTTTTTGGTAGACCCGATCGGGTAAAACATTATTTTCAGTTTTTTTTGTGTTTACCCGGCTGATTTCTTGCTCGGGCATGATTTTTAAGCCTATTACCCGACCGGGTATCAGGTTTACCCGACCGGGTTTTTCCCCAGGCCTCATGAAAACTTTTTTTTTGAAAAGTTAAATATGCACTCTCTCACAACACTCAAACATAATGTAAGAAATGAGAAAATAATTACGTACCTTGCATGGGTTGCCTCCCAAAAAGCGCCTTATTTAACGTCGTGGCTCGACGCCATCATTGTGTTCAGTCATTCAAGCTTGGATCGTGATACTTTATCTTCTTCACATTTTCACTCATAAGACTTTCATTGAAATGTTGAATTCTCTGATCCTTTACTTTGAAAATCATTCTAGGATCAAATATCCAGATTTTCATTGACTCGTGTGGTGAGAATGAGGGGAAGAATTTATCGTTTAGCATGGTCAATGAAATGTTTTTCGATCCCCCAATTTTGATACAGATTTCAAAAATGTCAGTGTTCTTTTCAAACTTACGAGTTTCCCTCAAAGCTTCCAAAAATGGTGGAGGTACATCAAGGGATGACAAGGATAAAAATTTGAATTTGAAGCTCGGCTTATCTTCTTCTTTGACTATTTGGAGCTTCGTGTCGTTTTCTTCTTCTTCTTCCTCTTGCAATTCTTTCCCATTCGTCAATGTGATGGTAAAAATTTCCTGTTTAGGATCATCTTCTGTCTGAAAGGGAAATTTTTCTGAATCCCTTGTATCAAGCCTACTCACGGCTTCAGCTATTTGACTCACTTGAGTTTCCAAGTTTAAAATGCAAGACTTGGTCTCATTTTGGAATTGCACCATGTTGTTTTGCATGGTGGTCATGTTGGTAGTAAGAGCCCGAACCATGTCCTCTGTAGACATGTTGGAGAATGGATCATACCTCATTTGAGGTATTTTCCTTTGAAAACCAACATCATCAATTCGTTCAAGGTATTCTTCTTGGAGCTTTGGGCCAAAATCCATAAGATGCATGTGAGACATGCAAATGTTGCAGGTCTTAGCATCTTGAGCTTTTGAGCATAAGATAAACTCCTTGATAAGAGAAGCCAAGACGGAAATTTGACCTTCTAGGGATGATGTGTTGGTATCCATATACTCATGTAAGCTCAGAAAATAGAAAAGTAAATTTTTGTTTTTATATTTTTATTATTTTTATTTTTATTTTTTTTGAAATAAAAAAAAATAATTGCCTTTCCCCGGCAACGGCGCCAAGTTTCTAGTAATAATTAATATATGAAACAAAACTAGTTGATCCTTTAAGTAATGTTCAAAATATTAATATGAAATATGAATAGGAATTAATTTATATTCAAGGAAGAATATTATTAAAGGAAATGAATCCTACTATAATTAATATCAAGATGTTAACTAATTGTCATCTTAGCAACACTCCCCAACATTAATATAGAGGAAGAAAATACTACTCTAACTAATATCAAGATGTTAACTAATTGTCATCTTAGCAACACTCCCCAACATTAATATAGAGATAGTATTAAGGAAAGAACTAATAATTAATATTCAAGGGAAGAAATTAAGAATATAACTCACAACTTTAATAATCAACAAGCTTCAAGAGTAACACCAAGAATGGAAGTTTAGCTCCTCATTTGGAGATTAAACATAACTAGAAAAATATAAAGGAATGCTATTCTAAACTGAGCTTAAGAGTATGGAAGAAGGAATTGGTTATCAAATGGGAAGGAAAAAGGGGTGTATTTATAGGTGTTTGGAGGTGGCAGGGTCATTTACCCGATCGGGTTGTTTCAGAAACCCGATCGGGTTTCTTGAGTAAGTGCCTAAAATCTTCATTAGTCACATCAACCCGATCGGGTTTTTGATTTACCCGGTCGGGTAAAAGACAAATCTTTGCTAAATCTTCGCCCTGCACGTTTAATATCCTCCAAATCAAAATTTGATCTTCGGATCAAGTCAAACCCGATCGGGTTTTTGGAAAACCCGGTCGGGTTTTTGGAAAACCCGGTCGGGTTTTTGGAAAACCCGGTCGGGTTTTTGGAAAATCCGGTCGGATTTTTGACTATTTTCCCAAATTTTCATTTTCTCTTGTTCCCTTGCACTTTCCTTGACCTTTCCAGGATCGTTTTGATGACCTTTACCTAGTTTAAGCTCACAAAATCTCTAATCTATACAAATTACAAGTAACTAGGAAAAATAAAGTATTACACCAAAAGTGTGTAATTTCCCAAACAACAACAAATAAAACTAGTTAAAATTACAAACATAAACAATAACAATTTTATACTATCAGTGAGACCTCGGATCATATCTTCAAGTATGGGTAATCTCTCCTTCCTAGATTGGAGAATGGATCATATCTCCTTGGAGGTATTTTCCTTTGGAAACCAACATCATCAATTTGTTCATAGTCACTACAAACAATTTGCCATTTACCAACAGTAATTTATACCAACAGACTTTTATTGTTGGTATAGGATAGCTATACCAACGGTTAATCTTTTCCATTGGTTATTACAATATCAATTCCAACGACTAGTTTATATTGTTGGTATATGTTAAGCATTTCTTATATTAAAATCATATCCGTAGGTATATTGTTAGAATATACCAACAACTATTATTAAAAATGTAAGTAAAAATTTTCAAAAAAATGTAAGTGAAAAATGATTATTAAATTTAGAAAAGTAAGTGAGAATTCCATAAAAGGCTGGCTGGGCTGGGCTGGAGCTTAGATTCCAAGAGTTAAAATACAGTCCATAGTCCGTAATATGGGTTGGAGCTTAGATTCCAAATCCTACGAAAAAATAAATTGAAAATCAAAAGTTGATCTAAATTCCAAATCCTAAAACTCATTCACAGCTTACTTGTACAGTGCAAACTTCAATCGTCTAATTGGCCGGCCGTTCATCGCGACACTGGTTCAACTTCTCAACAAAAATGAGATCTATTTTTAATTGAGACTCTAGTGCAAGTTTAAGATCCCTATTTTTAATTGGGTATCTAATTGGCCGGCCGTTCATCCCTAATCATTCCAAATCTGAAACATCGCTCTACTGTTTGTAACTCGCAGCTTGTCGATTCAGCCATGGATTAGCAGCAGCCAGCAGATCAGTTGTGCAGCTTCTGAACGTCGTATCTTCATCTTTAAGGTATGGATTCCATGATTATATTTCGCGTTTTGATTTAATTTTGAGACGATCGATCATGGTGGCTTGAAGATGATATTCTAGCGGCTTCCATGCGGAGGGTAGTTCACCTGCAGGAGAGCTATTCTAATTGGGACTTGCTGACTGCCTTATGTGTGGCTCCATAGTTGATTGGGAGCCAATTGAGCCACCTGCAGAACCAATTGGAGCCTGAAATGGAAATTAAAATTTGATTTCAAAAGCAACAATTTCTTTCCTGAACGGGCTGATTTAATGTTTAATGTGGTTTTTAGTTTGTTTGACAATTTTGGAGCTCTTTAATTTTTATTCAGAAGAATGGTATGAATGCCTTGCTGCTACCCTTTTATATTTTTGATAAAAATTATGCCATTTTGTACGTAGTTTCGTTGGGTAAAAAAAATATAATAAAACAGAATCAAAACCGAAGACATCATTCACTACTGCTCCAACGAGTTTTACTGTCTCGTATTTTTGCTTTTGGTCATTTTCCGTTTCCCAAACGCGAATTTGTTTCTTAGTATTAAGCTTTTTCTTCTGCCTAGTGTTAATCACAAAGCTGCCATTCTGAGTAGCCTTAGCTTACCCTAACTCTCTGCAATGTCTTCTTTATTGTATGCCTCCTCTTTATGGACATGGCTGCAGGTCGCTCAAGTAAGTTCTTCTTCGCCAACCTTTTCCCTTTCAATTTTTTTCCCCAACTTTATCTTGTATAGTGTATACATCATTTGTCACAATGGAATGAACAAAGAAAATGACAGAAGAAATACTATTTCCTTCTTCTGCTTTCCAATCATTCCTCTAAATATTTAAGTGGAAAACAAAAAAGAATACTGATCCTATAAAGAATATTGAGCAATATTTGTATTATTAAGGAATATTATTTACTCCAAGTCTTCAAATAGATTTGAAACATAATTAAATTTCCTTCTTGTTCTTATTTGCTTTCACTTTAATCCTTTAGTATGAAGTCTTCACCTTATATTAATAACATTGTTATTTTATACGAATTAGATGGATAAAACATGGATAGGTCTAACATCAAGAGTTAGCGCGGAATACATTAATGGGGTCAACGAATTTCTAGATTTTGCCTATGTAGGTAACTGGAGCAAATTTGGTAGATGATCCTTTTGTATTTGCTACACAAGTAAAGAAGGTTTACTATGTGGAGGATAATAGAGATGACGGGTGGCTTCTTGCTAGACATGCAAAGCTTAGAGATGCCTTTGATATGGGTGATGAATCATATGTTGAAAGAAGACATGAAAGAGATAGTTCTCACAATCCAAACCTTGAGAGTGATGACTCAAATAATCCTTCAATTTGGGTTAGAGATGAGTATATAAACGAGGGAGTGGAAATTACACCAGAGATGGAAAATGAGCTTCTGGAAGATGATCCTGCTGATGAATACATTGAGGAGGATATGTTTTAACAAATAAATATAAATATATTGTTTTTGTATATATTAATAACAGTAATTTTATGGTTCAGTGAAGTTTTTTTTAAATAAACGCTAGATCCCTTCTTTTTTCTTTCAGCATTCTTTATAAGGTAAACACATGTACTTCAAATCTAATTTATAGTTTTGCTTTGTTGCTTCTCAAATCTAATATGAAAATCTAATTTATAAACACACAGGGTTTGGGAATGGCACGTAAGCGATTAAAAACCACAAAGGCATTACGTGCTTCAAGTTCGCAATTGCATTCGGAGGCTTCACAGCATTGTCAAAATAATGAACAATCAGTTTCGTCTACAAATAATGTGGAACATGTCACTGAAGAAGTGGAAGAAGTCATTGGTATGTTTTCAACTTATAGCAAACCAGGAGTCTAGTATTGAAAAATTTCTAGATCAGAGCATACACTATAAGAACCAGTGTAAGAGGACGTACATGTTTACATGAAATACTCATTCACATTTACTCCCTATGTTGTTATGTACCAAAAACAGGACTTGATATTGAACCTGCTATTGGCTAAATGACTGCCTTGTTTGATATCAAACTATTTTAGTATTATTTCTTTTAACCAAGTTTTTTATCTCATTTTATTTAGTTCAACCGAAGCCTAAAAAGCTTCGAGGATACACGCGTATGGCTGAGATATGGGATTTGGACAAAGAGGAACAAATTATAGTTGTTGTGAATGCTCATCATATACCAATAGGTGATGCAGCTGCAAAGCTAAGTAGATTTATTGGTACCATGGTTAGAATGTCTGATTTCGCCCCCTTGACTTACACAATTTGGCCTGACGTTCCAGTTAGAAAGAAGGAAGAAATGTGGGAGATAGTGAAGGTACTTACAACAATAGTGGCTCTTCTTTGTACCAATAATTATAAACTGACTGCATTTGTTGTTCTTATAAATTCTAGGAAAAGTTTCAATTTAGAACATTGGATGGAAAAGAGGTTACAGAAGGAGAGGCATTTAAATGCATAAATGTGTGGACACTTGAGAACATGAGTGCTAAGTGGAGGACTTGGAAAAATGAATTGAAGAACATGTACTTTGATGATGCATTGACGCCACTTGAAATGCATTCACATGTTCATGATAGTCGAGTAAATAAAGATCAATTCATAAGCATTGCTACACATTGGCTTACTGATGAAGCAAAGGTAGATATATATCACCTTATGATTTATATTTATTTTTTAGTGTTAATGAAATCTATATGAAACAAAAATCAAATGTGCATATAAAAGACAAAAATCTGGAAATTGATTTATGCTTGACATATCTGCATGCCCCAATTGCATTGGATGTTTCAGGAACAAAGCACAAAAAATAAAGAAAATTGTTCAAAATCAAAAGAGCCTCACTGCACGGGGACAAAGTCTTTTCCGAGACTTATTCATGAGATGGTAGATCTATCAAAATTTCATATTTAAGTTGTAACTTTTGTAATAATATATTTTAGATTGATACTAACTTAATTCTTTTGTAGGCAGAAGAAAGTAATGGTATTCAACCATCACGTGCTAAGGTTTATGTTCGTACTCGAACAAGAAAAAATGGAAGCATTGTGAATGACAATACTGCTGAAGTTGTGGTATTACAATTAGTAATTCCTTATTTTCCTTTATTTTTTTATTTATTTTATCTTTTGTAGTTTTAAATACTGAAATTGTGCAACAAACTTCTTTTAGGAGCAAATGAAACAAAAAATGAGCGAAACAACCATGGAAAGTGAGGGTACTTCATGGGATAACGATGTTTATGCACAAGTGAAGGGACCTGAGAAAAGAGGCTATGTTCGTTGCATGAGAACGAAAATAAAAAGATCTAATAGTTGTGGTTCTTCATGTACACAACAACGAAGAAAGAATGATGAAGTAGAAACGATGAAGGCTGAGATTTGTGGATTGAAAACAGCTCTAAATCATGTGTTATCTATAATGAAGAAAAGATTTCCTGAAGATGAATTAAGTAACCTAATCATAGGACAGGTATTAATATTCACCATTTATTATAGTGACTTCACAAATGCCCATTATAATAGCGTACACACCTATGCTTATATAATTCTGAAATTATGTTTTTTAACTTCTTAACATTGTAGATACCTGAAGGAAATAGCGCCCCACATGTTCCCCCGGATGAAAACAATCGTTCTTCTGAGTCAAGTCATCAAATGGAAGAAAGTGAAATATAATCTGGTAATGTTTTTTAATAATTTCTTGAATATAGTAATGTTTAGTTCGACAAATTATGATATTTTGGTAATCATTCTTTTGAAGGGCTGGCCTTGACCTTGTTTACTAATATTTTGGTCATGTATATGCCAAGTATTCTGAAAACACAATATATTCATAAATATTGGTATAACAGAACTGCTTATATTGTTGAAAAGCTCAAACAGAGCCTTCATTTCTTTCACTGTAATTGCAAATACAAAAAAAAAGATGCATATCTTTATCATCCGAAAACAGAAGTATTTCAAACAAAGTAAGAGTATAATAGTGTGGTACTTCATCTTCTTACATGAAAGAGCAGTCCATTTTCAGTTCATCTTTTTTAATCATGCAGGGTATTCTGGAGTCATTTTTCTTGTGAAACATTCCCAGTTCACCCTTTGAGTCATAATTCTATTTGAGTTGTTAACTTATTCTGATGAAAAAAATGCTCTATTGCGATTCTAAAAGTATAAAAAAATAGGCTATTACACTTCATATTCCTACATATTAAAAAATGACTTGATATCATTTAATCCTATTGCCATTGAGTTCTTTCCTATTGGTATTGCTCCATGTATTTATTGATTTTTAACTCTGTGCAGGTACTCAGTGTCCTCTATTTCACCATCCAGAGTATATATGGGGGTATGCTATTTATACTAGTTAAGTGCTTCATTTTAGGTTTCACTTTTATTCAGAAAATAAATTCAAAGTGTTGTGAATTTTGTAGGTTTTCAGGATTTGATTCAATATATAACAAGTTCTGCATTTCGAGTGTTCTAAGGATGAAGAAAATCAGACATGGAACCTGGGAATTAGCAAACTGCTCAAAGTGTTATATTTCAAATACAAACATAATTGCATTATAATGACTTGACTTGGATTGTAAAAGACATGACTTGGATTTATGTTTTATCAACAAATTCAATATTAGTACTTGATATTATATTGGTTGAGTATAGATGTTTTTCAGCATATAAAGAAAACTGGTGTTATTATGAAAAATACATTGAATGGTGTTTTTTTATTGCAAATTATAATTTTATTTTGGAAATGTGGTGTTTGTGTTTGTAAATATCAAGTAATTATTATTGCTTCATATAACAGGACAATAGCAATGGTAAATTAACCGTTGCTATAGCAAAAAGTTATGTAAAACTATAACACGTCTATACTAACGGTAAATTCAATTACTAACGGTCATTAGTTTGTTGGTACAAGTTTATAAGCTATTCCCATGGGTAAGAAATATGTTGGTGTTGGTCTATACCGACGGAACGTATACTGACGATAAAGTTTCTATGGGAATAGCTAGTATTTCCGTTGGTATAGCTAATTGATCTCTATACCAACAGTTTTTATATCTATACCAACGATTTTATTACCGTTGGTAAAAGGCAGTTTGTTTGTAGTGAGTATTCTTCTTGGAGCTTTGGACAAAAATCCTTAAGATGCCTATGAGACATGCAAATGTTGCAGGTCTTGGCATCTTGAGCTTTTGATCATAAGATAAACTCCTTTATTAGAGAAGGCAAGATGGAAATTTGACTCTCTAGGGATGATGTGTTGGTATCCATATACTCATGTAAGCTCAGAAAATAGAAAAGTAATTTTTTAATATATTTTTATTATTATTGTTTTTCCCTGGCAACGACGCCAAATTTGACGAGCGCTTTGTCGTAGTGCGTCAAAATAAATTCGATACTAACACTTATACGTAGTATAGTGTAGTAGAGTTCGTATCAACATGGAAAGGAATAATTCTCTTTTTACGAACTAGTAAATAAATGGGGGTGTGGGATTGAGTGATTTAATTTAATTAAACACTAAGATAATGACTTATATGAGATTTAATTCAAAGATAAAAGGGACTTGCTTTGCTACTTTCCACTTGTTGATATATTTAGTCGATCCTTGTTATATCTATAACTAGTATAGTACCCCGTGCATACGCACGGAAAATAAAAGTTGGTGCATATATTTTTACTCATGAGCTAATTATATATTAGAACAAAAATAACTTTTCAGGATTCTACATTTTCGAAAAATAAGAGTACTAATATCATAAAGTATAAGCCATACAATAAACATTCAATGAAGAGTATATTAGAAAAAAATAATGAAAACCACTCATTAGACTTCACTACCTATTAATTTTCATTATTAAATTAATTTTAAAATTAAATACTACTCCGTATTACAAAAAAGTGAGTAAAATACGTGATTGACATAAAGTATGAGAAAAAAATGTCTTTCTCAACTGTTAGCCGGCTTATTTGATATCTAAAAGAACTACATATGATTGCGCTTAATTGTTAACCGGATTGTCTTATAACTAAAAGCACTAAGTATGAGAGAGAGAATTCTATCACTTAATTATTAATCGGCTTATCTAATCTAAAAAATTACCTGTATAAGAGAAAATTTTCCCGCTCAATTGTTAGAAAGCTTATCTTCTAATACATAAAAACACTACATATAAGTGAAAAAAATGCTTCCGCTCATATGTGATAGACAATTCTTACAATTGTTGGTCAGCTTATCTTAAGCCTGAAAACACTACGTATGAGAAAGAGAAAATTTCAGCTCAATCGTTAGCCGAATTATTTTATACTTAAAAGAATTACATATGAGAGAGAAAATTATCCTGCTCAATTGTTTGCAAGATTATTTTCTAGTCTTTTAATATGTAAAAACACTACATATGAGAGATGAAGTTATCCCGCTCAATTTCGCTACTCGATTGTTAGCAAGCTTATCTTCTAATATAATACCTAAAAGCACTACATATCATAGAGAATTTTTCTCCCGCTCAATTATTAGCAAGTTAATCTTCGTATTATACCTAAAACCACTACAGATGAGAGAGAAATTCTCCAGCTCAATTGTTTGTCGGCTTGTCTTCTTATTCTATACTTAAAAGAAGTTAACAACTAGATATGAGAGAGAAAATTATCCCGCTCAATTGTTTGCAAGATTATTTTCTAGTCTTTCAATATCTAAAAGCCCTACATATGACAGAGGAAGTTATCCCGCTCAATTTCGCTACTCGATTGTTAGCAAACTTATCTTCTAATATAATACCTAAAAACACTACATATGATAGAGAATTTTCTCCCGCTCAATAATTAGCAAGTTATCTTCTTATACCTAAACCACTACATATGAGAGAGAAATTGCCCCGCTAAATTGTTTGTCGGCTTATCATCTTATACCTAAAAGTATTACATATAAGAGAAAAAATTGTTCCGCACAATTGTTAGCATGATTATTTTCTAATACTCAAAAACACTACATATGGGAGAGAGAATATCCCTCTTAATTTCTTTGCTCAATTGTTAGAAAGATTATCTTCCAATATCTAAAAGACTACATGTGATAGAGAGAGATCTTGCGCTCAATTATTAGCAAGCTTAGTTTCTTAAACTTAAAAAACGACATATGAGAGAGAAAGTTTTCCCGCTTAATGGTTAGTTAATTTATTTTCTAATACCTAAAAACACTATATATGAGAGAGAAAATTTATTCGTTCAATTGTTAGCAGGCTTATCTTATACCTAAAAGCACCAAATATAAGAGAGAAAATTCTTCCACTAAATTGTTAGTCGGCTTGTCATATAGAGCTGTTTATGAGGGAAAAAGTACTCCCGCTCAATTGTTAGCAAGTTTATCTTCTAATACATACGTACAGTGCCTCCGTCTCACTAATATTATTGGACATGAGGAAATGGTGCGATTTTAAGAAAAATATGTTTATATAGTTAATATTGAATCGATAAAGTAAGAATTAAGTAAATATTGATATTGTCTCTAACATTGTGACATTTTTTAGAATAAAGCATGTGTAATGATTCACCCTATAACAATTTTATTTCCTAATAAGAAATTTTACATTTATATGTAAAATTTCACATTCATATGAGATATTACGTAGAAATAAAAAGGATAAAGTTGTATTTTATATTTTTATTAGTCTACTGTTTTCTTATGGAATGAGAATTTCTTAAGTGCAGCTATCAAATATTATTTCAAGGCAATGCATATAATGTATATATGACTTTTTTTAGCAAGTTTGACATAATCTTAAGATTTAATTTCCTATTAGTAAATTTTATATTTATATGTAAAATAGAATTCCTATGAGGTATTTGTATTAGCCTTTTCTTTGCTTATAAAATGTTAATTCCTTAAGTTTAACAACCTAGTATAGACTCGTTCATATGCACGGGAAAGAATAATTCATACATATATATGTGATCATGATATAATTAAATACAAAAATAAATAAATTTTTAAATTATTACTCCCTCCGATCCTAAATAAAAGCATTTGTTTCCTTTTCGGGTCACCCCTAAATAAAAAACCACTTTCCTTTTGGGTAGTAATTTTTTAATAGCCTGGACAATCATGAAGATTAGTCATCAATGTAGAGAAGAACCAATGATGAGTAATACACTATCATTAGAACTTAATAAGCCTTACTTTGAGGAATAAAATATGGTTGCTCCTAGTTATGCCTTTTCTTTGTGTTTTACTCATATTTGGAGCAATTTCTTATAAGAACTTAATGCCCCCTTAGCCTTTCTATCCTACAGCCAAGTGTAGAACTCGAAGTTCAACAAAAACAGACATCAAAAGAAGTGTAAACGCAAATAGAAAGAGAATAGCTTCCATGAACCCAAATAATATTTAGACGAAAAAATTCTGAAAAGAAAAATAAGTTACCTTGTATGAGGAATAAAGACTTCAAGGAAAATTTTGCAGAAAACAGTAACAAAACAATTTAGGTAAGTAAAGTTTGATATTGGCAATGTATATAAATAAAAACAAATCTTGGAGCTACAAACCTATCAGGATTCAAGACTAAATATAAACAAATTGTAGTTTATGCACTTCAAACTTTTACTACAAAGGAACCAAAAAGTATACATTAAAATTGATAAAGTTAGAGAACTGAAGTAAAAGGGTGCCTACTAAACCCACATGTTGCAGAAATCAGACAAAATGCAGCAATAAAAACAAACTAAGAGTAAGTTGTATTAAAATTATATGGACATGGAGTGAAAACTTAGCTATAAACATGCATAGGGAAGGATAAATTCCGCTTCGCATATGTGCTAGGAAATACAATTATATGAGACACATAATTTAGTTTGTATAGTACTCTTAAGGTGGTTTAGATCAAGATAGTGATATAGCTAAAGCGTAAAGATTTACATATGACTAAATGGGAAAAGCTGAAAACTGGAGAAGAGCATAGCAAGTAAAGACGAATAGTAAATTAAGATATGTTATGAAGAAGTAAATGATTGTAAACTAAAAGTTCATAATTCAATATACAGAGAAAAAAGAAAGCCAGAAATCTGCCCAGCCAAATAAATGCTCCGTATTCTTTCTATAATTTTCTAACATGGAGTTAGCGTAACTAATAAAATTATAAAACCATCTTGTATATTAAAAAACAGAAAAAGAAGATTCGTTTGAAGGAATGAAAAACAGAATTACCTATTCCACTGGAATAGGTAATTCTGTTTTTCATTCCTTCAAACGAATCTAAGAATACGTTTAGAGATGAAGATTCCTAAAATGGCTGGGAGATGAGAGTTGTGTAGCGGTGAAAATTTGTTGTGTAGCACCGAAAATAAGGAGAAGATAAACATATGCAGGATTCATTTTGTTGGCTGAAGCAGAATGTTTATAAAGCCACGTGGCAATAAATTATGAAAGGAGAGAAACGTGGTAAGAGAGACATGTAGGATTTGGCAAGGATAAAATTGTCTTTCTATGAGCTATTTCTTTTCTTATATATAAATAGACTTATCCCTCTCGAATACTCAATCGAGGACTATCTCGAATTCATCGAGGGTAGTTATTAACAATGACCGTTCATTAATAACCCTTATTGTTTAATCAAATATAGAACAACGTCTTATACCGATTTAATAGTAACATTTATTTTTTCTAACTCCTTGATGAAATCAATTGATTGATAACCTCAACACAACAGTTTCGATTTAACCAAAAAATTAATCCCTCTTAAGTTTATTAACCACGACCGTGCATTAATAAACCGAAGTTACTTGTGAAACCATCAACGATTAACCATCGGTTCGTTGATCATTTTTAGAAATAATTAATATTGAGATGTTAACTAATTGTCATCTTAGCAACACTCCCTAACATTAATATAGAGATAAATTAAGGGAAGAATTAATATTCAAGGTGAGAAGTTAAGAAAATAACTTACAACTTTAATAATCAACAAGCTTCGATCAAGAGCAAAACCAAGAAATGGAAGTTTAGCTCCTCATTTGGAGATTAAACATGCTAGAAAAGTATAAAGAAATGCTATTCTAAACTGAGCTTAAAAGTATATATGAATCGATTATCAAATGGGAAGGAAAGGGGTGTATTTATAGGTGTTTGGAGGTGGCAGGGTCATTTACCCGGCCGGGTTATTCGGAAACCCGATCAGGTTTCCTGAGTAATTGCCCGGAATCTTCATTAGTCACATCTACCCGATCGGGTTTTTGATTTACCTGATCGGGTAAAAGACAAATATTTGCCAAATCTTCGCCCTGCACGTTTAATTGCCTCCAAATCAGATTTGATATTCGGATCAAGTCAAACCCGATCGGGTTTTCGAAAAACTCGGTCGGGTTTTTGTCTATTTTCCAAAATTTTCACTTTCTCTTATTCCCTTGCACTTTCCTTACCTTTCCAGGATCCTTTTGATGATCTTTACCTAGTCTAAGCTTAGAAAATCTATAATCTATACAAATTACAAGCAACTAGGAAAAATAAAGTATTACACCAACATTGTGTAATTTCCCGAACAACAATAAATAAAACTAGTTAAAATTACAAACATAAAAAATGACAATTCTATACTATCAGTTGTTGGAAAATTAAAATGCGAATAAACGATTAAAATAAATGGGTTCTTTCGAATTAATGATGATATGGAACATGAATTGATTCTGGGGTAATCAGATTTCTGGCTGATAAGACTTAATCACATGAAAATTGTTTAATTGAGCAGCGCTCATCAATACTAAGTTCTAACCGTTCTCGCAGCGTAGAGCACAATAATTTAGGAAATCAGGATGATCTCTCATGTGACATA